AGTAGGGTGCATCTAAGCCTAGGAGGAGCTTAATATACACTGCTCTTATTCAAACCTTGTTTAAAAAGAATTACGACTACAGACATGAGGTACTAGTTGTGGAAAGGACAAAGAGCTTGCAACAAATGAAAAAGAGAATGACACGCAAATACTATTACTAAACCAATTAACCACCTTGTATTTTTATGATGTATATGTGAGGGAAACTGGCCTTTAATACCAGGAATGACTCATTAATGTAGTGTCAAGCACGTATTCTATCCAACATCAGGACTTTAAATGGTTTAAAAATCACAAGTATGTCTTATAATAGCCTGGGCTTACCAAATTCTCATGCTACTAGTATTAAGAAAGTCTCCAAAATTACCCCAAGAAATATTTAATAAATAAATGTATGTCCCCTGGTGATCTGAACAGGTGAGATTACATGAAATGCTAGTTAAAATGGTGATTTCTTTGCACCCAGCATATGTACATACACAAAGTATAACATATTAGATCCTATGATTGCTCTTCTTTTATTCCAAATACTGTAGAGCCCCAAATAGATTATACATATATAACCACTGGTGACTGAATTATAGCATTAGGGCTACTCATGAAAACCAAGGCCCACTCAGGGCTACACTCTCTACTGATACTGGAAAACAGCTGACTTTTGAGTCACTTAACATGGCTAAGTTAATACACAGATAAAATGTTTTGGCACCCATTAGTTAGATTCTTTTGGAGCTAATTGAGTTAGTCAGAGATGGACTGGCTGAAAGCTGGACATTTTAATTTAGTGTACTCCAATCACAAAGTTGCTGAAGGCTGGTCTTCTCCAAATACTGCCTTGGCTTTTGCCATGGACACAGGTTGGGATTCAGAGGATGTGATCTTTAGCCAACGCAGACACCAAAGACAACAGTCACAAATGAATAGAAAAAAATAACTTCTTTTTATTTACGAAAAAAAAAAAAAAATCCAAATATTGGATGCTGTAAACAAAATTCACAATCTGTTCCCTCTAGCACTGATTCAAACATGTCAGTTTTTAAGAGTCCATTCTCCATCAACTCCTTTTCTGCCTGTGACACAGTCTAAAGTCGAAATATTCCAAGAGTGACCAAAGGTTTAGCTTGCTGAAACAGGACGTCTTAGAGCAGACAATGGTTGGAGAGAAGTTGGAAAGAGAGCCAGCAGGCAGAGCCTCCTCTATTCTGCAAGGCTTTTGCAGCAAGTCTTGCCAAGTTACCTTGACATCTTCCAACGCTGTACTTTTACCATGTACTTTGTTAACAGGCCGTTATTACAATATTACACAGAGATTCTTTCTTAGCACTGAAAAGGCTATGCTATAAAAAATCTTAAAGAAAGATTATATTCAAATAAGTGCTATATATGAAATTAATTTTTTTGGTTTTTTCATTTCATCTAACACATTTTGTCTTCAAACAAAAAAAAAAAGCTTATTTTTGAACTGCTGACAGCTTTCAACATAATACATTTCATTTACAAAATAGTTCACAATGTTTATTTGACAAGCATTGCATTGAAAACTTTATGCACAGTAAAGCAACCAACAATAAGCGAATAGAAAAGGGTGGCAAAAACAGTATGTTCGCTTTTCTTAGAATTTCCTCTTCGACTTGGCTTACAGATATCCTTTCATCCTTGCATTTTTTGGTGACATATTAAAATAGTCTACCCAATACCAAAGTGATCAGACAGTCGATCCCATTTCTAGAAGGGAAAAGTCCAATCAATGTACGACTTCTTGAAGCAACTAGATTTACTGAAAACGTAAATTTTTTCAAAGGGCATTGTCACAGGTTAAGTGTTCTCTGACATGCCAGACCGGACAGGTGAAAAGAGCCTCCAGAAGATAAAACTTCTTCTTGTTTTAAAGTAATAGCACACTAGGCCAGATAAACACAAAAGCAAGCAAATCACAGGCACTAATTAGGAGTTGAGAACTGTTCTTTTCTCTGACCTATACACATAGATCTCTTTCACCAGACATTCAAATTTTTAGGCCACACATCCACAAAGAGAGACATATATTCCACTGTTTGTTCAACTACATATGCACAAGACTATAGTACATACAAAATAGAAATAAATTATATAAGTTTTAAAGTAAATGCTAAAGATTGTCTTGAGTACAGCCTGTTCTATCTGAATGCCAGGTGCTGGCACTTTCAACTATGCTACCAACCCTGGAGTAAGCAAGAACATAAATATTTAAGAAAATAAATGTAAAGTATATTATCAGATAAGGCCCCTCCAAACAAAAATCTGTGTCATAAATTAACAGCAGGTTGTTGCTATGGCAGAGCCAGAGACCTCCAGATTCCTTTTAAAATAGTGGACGAATCATTTGTCAAGAGTTAGGATGAGAAGGAAGAAGGCAGACCACCAGGCTGCTCTGATGTTCCCAAGCATTCCCTTAGTTTTAGAAAACTTCCAAACAGGTAAGAAGGTGGAGCTCTGGTTTCTGACAGCTATGTATCAGGTTTATTCTGCAAATGAAATATTTCCTGGGAATTCACAATTAATTTTTCAAACCCAGGGCTGGAGTGAGGGAGACTGAGCCAACATGGGAAAAGGAAGAGTTCCCTAGTAAACAGTGAATGGCAGTGCAATAGCTGTTACAGCTTGGACAGAATTCACAGGGAAGCTGCTACAGCAAACCCATCAAGTTCCTGTTAAGGATTCAAAAAAAGACGTGCAAAAAGTAGTTCAGGTGGATTAATTTAGCACTGAGCATCTAAGTGATGCCCAGATAACAAACAAATTACACTGCCAATAGGGTGATGTTATTTTCTTCCCCAATCCCTCTTTAACTGATCACAAAAATCTGGTCGGTTCTTCAAAGAAATGATCATAATAAGCAATCATTCATTAGAGTTGATAAGGATTATTCGGCTGTTTCACAAAACAAATGGAAAGTTTTTATGTGTTTTTTTTTTCCTTAAAAAAATTCATTTTCAGAGACCAGTGTCCAAAGGAATTAAAGGCTGGGAGAAGGAATGGTGTTATGATTAGCTGTTACTGAACTGAAACAGTAATGCTAGTTCATTTCACAAAGGTATAACTGGTCTCTTGGGAAAGAGAAAATAAAGTTGGATTTGATTCAATGCAAAGTGACTGAATTTAAAGTACAGTACTAAATATTTAAATGCAGTGTGACAACCAGATCAAAGATGTTTCATATTGGCATGAATTTATAAAATTTTATATATAATATATATCTCATATATAAATTTTATGCAATTGTGCAAATACTCTTTAAAAAGGGTCATTTCACATTTACTAAATTCTAGTGGTCCTGGAATGCAGAAGGCATTCATTAAAAAATTAATTTAAATATTAATAAGTAGTGTTAAGGTCACCAGAAATTCTTTTTAGCAGTGAGGGATTTAAATAGACTATCTTAATCCATGATCCACTGGATTATACACCATGGAAGCATGCAAGTATTACAAAAAATAAAAGGTTTCAAACTGTCGAAATGGCACTTCAATAGAAAAAAAGAGTGCTCTGCCAAACAAATATTCTCCCATTTGTGGAATTCAATGGCTCATAAAAAAAGGGGGGGAAAAAAAAAAACACTCACTAAAAATGTATAATCTCTGCTCTTCCTATCAAATATATTACTTGTTTTCCTCCTTCATTTGCTTTAATATTTTTAGATGTGAGTTTTTAATTCATCACTGCAATATGCCCACGTCTCATGTCATCCTGTTGAAAACATAAAAACACACAGTATTTAAACATCACCTATTTGCTACATTATTCTAGACCATAGTCAATGTTTTGGGTGTATATATTCATATCGCAAATATGTATATATACGCACACACAATATACACACATACATATGTACTTATAGTATCACACCAACAATGTTAACTTTATACAAGTATTTGCTAAGAAAAATAGGGCATTTCCTCCACCATTCACAAGCTTATTTGTTGTTTTATTTTCTTCTTTAGTCCCTGATAAAATAAAATAATCATTAAACCATAAAAATTTTTCACTTTGAATTTTCAGAAGGCAACAGGCACTTTAATGTCTATTGGTGTGTAACAAATATAGTAACTCTTTATATAATCTACTATAGCTCTTCTACTTGGGTATTTTTATTTTTTAAATCTTTGGTCCTTGAGCATACTCTTTGCTACAGCTGTTTTTGCTTGCATTTTCACATTTTAAAAATGCGAGCTATGCACACAGCTGGAAATAATGGATTGTGTCACCATAAGTTCTGCTGTTTTTTATGAAAACTGCATTAACCTACTACTGTTCATTCAGAGCAAGCCGTTTCTGTTAGCGCAACAGAATAGTTTCACAGAAAACACTTGCTACAAGCCTCAGGTAGTAATTCCAATGTTGGAGTTCCCCTTCCTGTATTATTACTATCTGAACTCCTGATTTGATAATTAATTTGGGTGAGACCATTTTCTTCTTATTTCTCATTTTTTGAGTTCTATAAGAAACCTTTTTTTTTTTTCCTTATGGCAAAGCTATGGGAGCAAAGTGCTGCAAACCCATATTGTCATCAAGCATTTTTTCCTGTTATTTTAGGAGAACCTGTTTGTTTTAAATGACAGGTCTCTTTTTTCAAGATAGAGTAATTCCAATGTTGGAGTTCCCCTTCCTGTATTATTACTATCTGAACTCCTGATTTGATAATTAATTTGGGTGAGACCATTTTCTTCTTATTTCTCATTTTTTGAGTTCTATAAGAAACCTTTTTTTTTTTCCTTATGGCAAAGCTATGGGAGCAAAGTGCTGCAAACCCATATTGTCATCAAGCATTTTTTCCTGTTATTTTAGGAGAACCTGCTTGCTTTCAATGACAGGTCTCTTTTGTTTCAAGATAGAATCCAACTGGGTAGGAGGATCAAGTGGGTGGGGATCCTTTGAAGATCATGCTCCAATACCTACAAAAGTATCCACAAGCTTTGCCAAGCTTAAAACCAGGAGCAGATAATCATTGCACAAAACACAACCCTAATCAGGGCTGGGTCACTGAGCCTTTTTTTTTTTTTCTATCTTGTCTGAAATGGCTCCCCCATAGGACATTTTTAAATGATTCTTAATTGCAGGGTAGCCAAGTGGAGTATGTCTGTTGCTGGCATGTGAATACTGGCTGGACTTGTGCAATATAGTAATTGCTAAAGTTGGCATCTGCAACATAAGGGGCCGGCTGGTAATAGCAAGTGACATTAGCCACATTAGGGATGACATTTTGGTCAGCTAGCACCCGGATAGCCAGCATTGTGATGAGGTTTAAAGTCTGTCTTCTTTCATGTCCCATCAAGCATACTGTACTCTCATTCACCACTCCATGAAGGGTCATGAGATAGTCATACTTGCGGTCTTCCAATCCCACGAAGTGGTTCTGTAAATAAGACTCCAGTTTTCTCTGCTGCTCTCCGATGTCTGAGAAGTCGATGAAAAACCTGGAACACATATACCTCTGAAGGGTCTTGATCTCATCAGAAGCGGGCCTAAAGCCCCTCACTAAGAGGTTGCAGTACTTAAGCAGGCCTCCCCCTCTGATTTCCTCTGGGTTCCTGGTGGCAATGATCTTGTTACAAAGGTGATCAAAAGCTTCATGGAAATCGCCATAGACGCTCTCACCGATTATCGTGGGGTGAAATGTTTCAGTCATTGGGTTCTCCGAACATTCATAAAAGAGGAGAAGAGAGTCTAATTTGATTTGAAAAGAATCTACACTAAATTCAAATTGCCTCCGGAGGGAATCCACAAATTTCAGTTCCACATTTTTGCCACTGTTGTTTGACAGGGATATAAGACTCCATCGGTCGGAGTCATTGCACACTTTAACCATTTTCTGCACATAAGCTTCCTACAATTCAAAAGATAAAACAAGAAGATGAGCATACCTAGAAAAAAAAATAAATAAATACATCCTCTTTACAGATGAGATTTATTTTGCTCCTTTTGTTTTATCATGTTTCAGCAAAGCACTACCTACAGGCTTAAACAGTCTTCTGGAAAAAAAAAAATACATTTAACGAGTGGTTTTAACCCTCTGGGAAAGAGACTAGAGGTAATAGTTTGAGGCTTTGGACAGATGTAGCACAATACTAAGAAGTTCTGCTGTCATGTCTGACTTTTGAAATGTTAATTTTTGAAAATGGTCTTATAGGTATAATATTCACACAATATCCATACAATATACAAAAGACAGAAGAGCATACACTGTAAAGTTGGTCTGCCTCTCACCCTTGTCTAGTTCTTCGTCGGAGGCAACAGATGTGATCAGTATCTTGTATGTCCCTCTAGAGGTACTCAGCAGTTATAATCAAAATGAACTATATTAGGACATTCTGGGAGACTGATTCCTCAGACAATTTGATCTAAATGTACAAAATGCACTTTGAACCAAGTGGGAGGGAGGGAGGACCCACTATATCCTTAATACATGAACCAACCCGGAGAAGCACCATATATATATCCTCAACACATGGAGTCGGCTTAATGCAGCTAGGCAACCTATTCACATTTTCCAATAAGATAATAAGCCCACTTGTTTCTGCTTCAGGCTGCTATTTTCCCAAAGATTAGATAATAAAATGACTCAAAAAGAAAAATGATTTGCATCATTTCATTCTTCCACTTAGAATCTACTCTGGACAAGACTCAAGCGAGGAAAGCTAAGAGTTAAAAAATAAGGAGAAGGAAGAGGGAGGGCAGAAGAGGAAGAAGACGACTTTGTGGCGCTGAAGCACCAAGTAAAGTAAATCACGCAACACCGTCCACGCACCTTAATTTACTTATTTTTTTAAAAATCAAAAGCAAAATAAATAAGCGCTCCCAAATCTGTCACGACCGCAGATTTGTGGCATCAAACGCAAGCCTCTCTGGAAGCCCCTCTCCCCTGGCCCACCGCACCCCAGCCCAGTCCCAACGCGGGCCCAAGCCCATGTCGGGTGTCTTTACCTTGAGCGTGAGAGGTGTGATCTTCTCTTTGTTCACCCCTTCGGGTAAGAAGTCCAACAGGCAGTCCAGCACGACGTCCTTCACAGTCTGAAACTCCTCTTCCCCGCACAAGTCGGCGCAGAAGATGAGGTCCAGGTCCTTGTAGCCCAGGCCGCTGTCCTGGTGCAGGACATGGCTGGCGGCTGAGCCGTTGAGGCGCACGTCACGGACGCCGATGCGCTTCTCGGCCAGGCGCCGCCGCACTACCTTCACGATCAGGCTCGGCTGCAGCTCGAGCGTGGGGAAGTTGCCGCGGCCGTGGATCGGGATGGTCTCGCTCAGGATGCCGTCCAGCCGCTGCACTTGCTCCCAGTTCAGCACGTTGCAGTGCGCCGTGGGGCTTTCGCAATAGTCCAAGCAGTGCCCGCCGAAGCTGCTGCCGCCGCCGCCGACGTCGTCGCCGCTAAAGTCGCTGCCCAGGGGGATGTAGGAGCCGCTGGTGAGCTCGTCTTCGGCCATGGCAAAGTACCCTTCGCCTTCCGCCATGAAGTGCCTGCCGAATGCCACTTGGCCCTGGTCAGTCCTACAAGAAAAAAAGGGGGAGCTCGGTGAGGAAGCACGGCGAACAAGCCGGTCGAGGAAAGAGCGCGCCGCCTCCCCGGTTCGCCCCCTGGCTCGGTTAGGGACTCCTCACTCTTCCTCCTTGGGTCCCCGATGTCCCCAACCGCGCGCGCGCCGCGCCCCGCGCCCCGCAGAGCAGCCCCGCACCAAAAGTATCTCTGATGCATCTGGAAAGCGCAAGCGGGAGTCCCGTCTGTGTCACCTGGTGACGGCCGCCCCTTCTAGGAGCGCAGTGAGCGAGGAACCGCGAAGCGGCAACACTCCCAGGAGCTGTGAGTGCGCTCCCGGCAGCAGCGAGCGACTTAGTCTCTCTCAGACTCCAGCCGCCAGCGCTAGCCACTCCCGCCCCTCGCTCCCGCCCGCGTCGCTGCCGCCTCAGCCGAGGTGGTCCCGAATGTGGCGGCCCCTGCTGCTGCCGCCGCCGCCGCCACCGCACACGCTCCTGTCTCTGGAGCTTTAGCAGTTGTGCGGGAGAAATGTCTTCAGTACTTTTTTTATACTGAGCCTCTCCGTGCTTCCGGGGCTCCGGCGCTGCGCCCTCGCCACACCCTCCTTATCTGCATAGGGCGCCACCCCCGCCCGCCCCGCGGACGGAGCTCCGCTGAGCTGCGCGCCATCAGCCGAACGGTCCTCGGAGCGCCAGGTCGGAAGCTGTATGTGTGTGCCTATCTATGTCCGTATACTTATTCTTCATATAGTTGACTTATATGCAGTCCCCTTGCCCACGGCCCTCTTTTCTTTTTCTCCAACGGAGGAGACACTAAAAATACCTCAAGAGTCATGCCTAAGTAGCCTTCAAAACTGGATCACGATTAATATCGCGCAACCACAGAAACGTTCCAAACATAAAATTCTCGCCGGATACAGCACGTCGTTATAGCTTAGTGATGGGGCTCCAGAGGGTCTTCACGACTTCCCTTTTAAATACCCTGTCGGTGTACAGCTACACCGTTTACCTCATTAATACACCCGGTCTCTGAATTTATGCGCCCACTTGTCCATGCAAAGCAGGCTCGGCGCGTGAGAGGAAAGGCTCGCTCACTGGGTTTCGATTCTCGAAACCTCGGGAAGCGCGAGGAAGCTGGGGGAAAGCTGAAGAGACGCGGGGGGCGGGGCCGCGAGCGTGCGTCCGACTCCTGCGCACGAGCGGCTCGGGGCGGCCGGAACGGGGTGAGGGCCAGCGCGCGTCACTGAGCGGACGCCACGGCTGCTCTGCCGGCCCAGCGGCGAGTGGGAAAAAGGCCGACGGCAGTGCTGGCCCGGAGCGCGCGGCGCGCAAAGAGCCGCTGCGAGGAGCTGAACGTACCGCGCCGCATTCTCTCAGAGAGAACCTAAGGAGGCGAAGTGCGTTCGTCACACTGCGCTAAGGTTTACCTTTTTCAAGTGACTACAAATGCCAGTGTGAAATGAGCTAGTTTTCTAGGAAACGTGAAAGTATAAGGGATAAAAGAGTTTCTTCCGCTGCTTGGGCAGTGCGAAAGAAGTGTAATGGTTATTATCCCCATGCGCGCTCGCACCACCGTCTTTGCGAGAAAGCGCCCCCCTTTTTTCTGGCTCTTTATTCCGGCCACTCGCTGCCTCTTCCCAAACTAAGAGTAACTTTCTTTAAAGTAGAGGCTGCGGGAAGCGAGGGCGAAGGGGAGCGCGCCGGGGAAGCTGAAAACGAACTCGCACGGTCCTTCGCCACCCACCCTAGCAGCCCAGCCTGGGAAGAGGAAAAGTCCGCTCCTCTCACCTGGGAGAGCCCAGGCCTAGTCACCAATGCTGCGTGCCTGGGAGAGGAAGGTTGCGGGGTAGAGGACTGTCACCCGCGGAACATCAAGCTGCGTGACAACGCCGCCCCCTGCTGGTGCCCTTCAGAGCTGTGTCCCAAAGCGGAGAACTGGCTGGATCTTAGACGGAGGCCATTATCGTTCAGCTCTGTGGGGGATCAGGGAGGCGATGCTGAGATAACCGCACAATTCTCATAGGCGCTTGCCTCTCCAAAAGCATTCTCGTATTCTCCCCTATCCAGCCATCCACGCCTGAATCCATCCATTCTATCCAGCATTCAAAAAATTGCGTATATGTGTATATAAGGTATGACGACCTATTACCTGCCAGGCACCAGGCTAAGTGCTGAGGATTTAAGAATGACTACGTTTTACACAGTGTAGTGGGCATGACAAAGCAAGTACATAATTATGGTTCAACTGCGCTCCTAGAAGAGGCTGCTGTCACCAGGTGTTCAACTGTTAGGAGAGAAGTATTTTCTGACACTGACACAGAGGAGTGGTGGGCTAACTAGGATTCGGGAAACGAGGAGAGAAGACCAGAAGAGAGAGTGTGTTTATTTGGATTGGATCTTGAAAAGTGGACTTTCCTTGGATAGCTGAGGGAAGAGTAAGAATACTAGAGTGTTTGAGGAAGTATGTGTAAACCATCACAGTAAGAAATGAGATTGGTAGTGCATTTGGATAAGGTTTATGTGGATTCCAGGAACTTAATGAGCACCTCTGGGCCATACTCAGCTCTTTACACATAAAACCTCATTTACTCTTCAAGAAGGTATTCTAATAGGGATTTAGAAACAGGAACGTAGAGGAAGAGATTCGCCCAAGTTTCATGGCTAATAAGTGGTGGATCAGGCATTAAACCCAACCAATTTGGCTGTGAGTGCTGTTTAGCCTTCATTTGCAGGAATGGGATGTTTGTAGGTTACCAGTACCTTCTCATTGAAAAGCAAGACAAGTACAAATAGAGAGAGAAAAAAAAAAAAAGGCCTGTTAAAATTTTTTTCAAAGGTCATCACGAATTCTGTTCTTAAAACAAGGCCAAAGAGGTAGATCATGTATTAGGTACACTGCACTGAAAACAATCAAATTTAGTGTCACCGCCATTATTTTTTACTATATTTTAACTCTTACTCAAAATAAGTGAAAAATAAAAATAAAAAAGCAGAAGATTCTTAGAGCTGACAAGTACTTGTGCTTCATGCACGCCTAAGATTTTTTTTTCTGTAGAGCTAAAGGAATCTGCATTTTAGCAAGTTGCCCATGTGATACTTACACAAAGACTCAGCCATACTTTGTACTACACTAATAACAGCCACTGCAGCTTGCTTCTCTAGTTTGGGACCCTCTCTCAAACAGAGGCTGCTCTTCTCTGCCCCGCTCCTCTTACAGCCTCTCCCAAGAATGGAGAACATGGCTGAGAAGTAGAAGTAGAGCATGAGGCCAGACATTGAGGGCCTGCTATGCATCAGACCCTGTGCTAGAGAAAAGATGAGTTCCAGCGCATGACCCATTCTTGTAAGCTGCCAGGGCTTTGTGCCTGACACATCCTTAACCCTTTAACAAAGTATTCCCTATTTTCCAACCAGGTTCTCCCCTCATGGCAACCTTACAGATTGCCATAATCCAGACTCTACCACCTCTTGAACTAGGGACATCTGAGATACCTTATTTTTGGCAGTTCTTGGTGGTGCTTTGACTGGATTCATATGTGCCTGATTCATAGTGGCCACTTGATACAATTATTGAATGAAAGCATCTGTTATTTTTTGTCTCTCTTCTTCCTGTTGTCAAACTGAGATAATATTTACATTCTGGGAGAAAAAAAAAATGTCCATCCTTACATGAAATTGCAAGTTTTGCAATTGCAAGCATTTATTTTTTTTCTAGCTAACCAAAATAATTATTAAATGAGAAAGTTTATACTTTCCAAACACATTCATAGCCAAGAAATCGCTCAACACAGTTACTCTTAGATTGAATTTAGGTGCAGAGCTGCAATTTTTTTTAGTCATTAGCTTCTGAACCTATTTGGTAAATAATTTACTTTTCTCCATTTTAAAAGGAAAACTATGGTAATATGATGCCATGAGTTTCTCCCTGAAATTCTTAAAATAAAACTTTACATTTATATTTGAGAGAAAAAAACACAATTAGTTGATCTTGATTTAAAAGTTAGAGTAACAATCAATCTGGACTTAGCATAATAAGAAGAAATTCAATTTTAGTCTTAATAAGGGTTACCATTATTTAATTTGTTATAATGTGCCAGGCAGTGTGCTCAGTATTTTACATACATTATTTTTCTTAAAATTTCTTCAGATATCAGCTTAATATATTACATTCCAATTATCCAGATAGGGAAAATAAGGCAGAGGAAGTTTAAATAACTTATAGAAGTAGAAGATCCTGGTTCAGGCCCACACATGTAACTGCTCTCCTAGTTCCTTTCATTCTTATCTCTGTCTACTCTGCTTCTCATTTTCCGTTTAGACTTAAAAGTGAACTGGAACTGCACTCTTCTCCTTCCTTCCAAGTTCTAAACGTTCAGATTGCACACAACATCGAGGACCAACGTGTTTTATCCTGAAACAACAGATGGGAGCCAGAATGCAGTGACCTAACTGGCCTGATGGGAGTTTCTTCCCCAGCTTGAATAACCAACCTCCATGGTAGTGGAGAGCTAACAAGCAACCAGCTTTACAGAGAGCTTGCAAGAGACACCACTGACACTGAAACACAGTGTGAGGTTTGGAGATGGACTCAAGTTCACTTAGCAGTGGCACTACATTTCTCATTTTCCTTTGTCTGCTTCCTGTCTTCTCAAAAATGATTTTAGAAGATAGGAAGCAAACAAATATGAAATGATTCTCCCAAGCTCATACTCAGGAGAGACAAGGCCAGAAAACTGTTGTTAGACCTACAACTTCTCTGTCTCTCAGCGCTGTAGTCAGTCTCTCACCATATTCTTGTCTCCTTCTTGATCTTTTCACACCAGCCCTCTCCTCTCTTTCCATTGATTTTCTACCTTCCACTGCTTTGCTCTTTGATCCTTTCTACAAAAAGTGACATGACCAGTAGAAGCACCTTGCCACCCAGGCAGAGCAGTGGCAGTGTGAGGAATTTGAGCCTCCCCTTACCCCCTTGCCATTCATTGCCTTTATAGAACAATTCAGTGATCCCTGAGGCCACAGGTAGGCATCCTTTTACAAGCATGCACATGGAGGTGTCTCCACTGCAAAATAAATGAGATCTCTCTGCTGTCCAGTTAGTGTTAAGCAACTAATCAAAATGCTTTGTGTACAAGTTAAAACTCATTTGGGAAACTGAATTACAGTAGCCGCTCCCCCATCCGCACACACACCCTTTATCCTTGGTTTCTCTTTCCTTAATTTCAGGTACCTATGGTCAACTGCAGTCCAAAAATATTAAATGGAAGTTCCAGATAAAAACAATTCATAAGTTTTGAATCACTTGCCATTCTAAGTGGTGTAATGAAATCTTGTGCTGTCTCACTCTGTCTGACCTGGAACATAAATCATTCTTTTGTCCGGCTTCAATCACTTAATAGCCTCTTGGTTATCAGATTGACTATCTTGGCATCACAATGCTTCTGCTTAAGTAACCCTTATTTTACTTAATAATGGCCCCAAAGCATAAGAGTAGTGATGCTGGCAATTCGGATATGCCAAAGAAGCAATAAAGTATATGTGTGTATAGGAAAAAA